CCCCGGTACGAATAGCAGGGTTCAAAGTCTTATTCCCCAATTGTATCGTATGCTCGACATCCTTTCTATTTAAATAAAAGAAAAAAAAAGAACTAATTTCAATCATAGTCTCAATTTTTTAAAAAAAAGTGTAAACGAGTCACAAATAGTAAAAGGGTAATTAGCAGTTTAACACATAATGTTCCTGCCTTCCACTGTTATTGTGAAAAACATTTACACATTTCATTTTTGACATTTTTCACCCTTAATTACACTTTTAATTGCGCGACCCATCATTTCTATCAATTTTCATCCAATTTCTCAAAAAACTGTAAAATGACGAAAATACCCTCCTATTTAAATAAAAATTATTTTTTAAAATTTCTAATTTTTTTAATAATTTATTTGGGACCATTTGCATTTTTAAAAAAAAATTGGGACTATAGTTGTAGTTATCTCTTTATTTTTCCTTTTTTTTTATTATTTAAATGGGATGGTGTGTTCATCATTTCATAGTTTTTTATTAAGAAATTGGATGCAATAGATATAAATTAGGGTTTGCGCAATCAAATAGGTAAAGGTCACTAAGAGTAAAAATGCCAAAAAAAAAAAGGTATGAACGTTTTTCACAATAATAGTGAAAGAACATTATGTGCTAATTACTCTTTTACTAATTTATTTGGAACTCCTTTACACTTTTTAAAAAAATATTTGGACTATATTTGGAATTAGTTCTTTTCTTTTTGTTTTATTTAATAGAAATGTATATTCGTCATTTCACAACTTTTAATTGAGAAAATAGATGAAAATGACCCTTTGTGCAATGAAAGATGAAAATAAGTGTGAAAATATCAAGAAAATAAAAGGTAAGGACGTTCTCCACGATAATAGTAAAAGGTAAGGATGTGATATGCTAATTATCAAAGTGATGAATCTCATAAAATGTAGAATAAAGCTCTTTTGCCAGAAAATATTTGATATCTTAATTGACATACACTCACATGCGCATGTGATCCGTGTGAATAAAAAATGCTCTCCTCCCCTATTGTGAGCCCTCCCATAGCATGATTGTAAAATGTATAATTAAAATTAATGTTTGGGTTTGTTGAGAAGGAAAGTAAATTTCAAAATACAGCCTAGGTAACTTAAAAAGTAAATTTTAATCATTCATAATTTTTTGAACACTAAGCATTGGCAGAGGGAGGTGGGATCATTGAGTGTCCCTATCCCCACTAATTGTGAGAATTTTTTACCTTTTACTTTTAGTATTGCAATATTTTGTTGGAAAATGAATGAAAATTCAGTTTCA